CAGAGGGTTGCACACTTTATTGCTTCTATAGGCCCAGTGCACACCCCACGAGCTCCCAATGTCTCACCCTCCCATCCCCCTCTGTTTCGGGGACTCCCTGCACCCCCCCCGCCATGCCAGGAGCTCTGGGGGCCCCCGTTTCTTCTCCTCCTCCCACACCAAGGTCCCTCATGCCAAGGGCTCTGTGTGCCCTCTTCCCCCATTCCAGGGTCCCCCCATTCTCCCCAAGCCCTAACGGAGAGCCGAGCCCCATGGTGCTAGGTGCTGTAGGTACACAGAGTGAGTGATAGGCCCCGCCCCAGAAAGCACATGCCAGAGACCCATATAATCCAGCGACCCCCCCCCCCACCACACACACACACAGTGAAGGACGGACCCAGATCCCAGCCAACTGGCTGCCAGTGTGGCTGGACTCTGCACTTCTCATGCAGGCAGAGGACGTGAAAATCTGGCACTGACGGTGAGTGCTAAGCCCACAGCTTTTTGGAAAATGCGGCTCCTAGAACAGATGCCCTGGCTGTGCACACCAACACACACTGACGCAGGCCCACGCACGGTCCGCGCGACCCCACCGCCGCACTGGACGAACACAGCCGAGTTGCACAAAGAGCCCTGACACAAACACACCCGAGCTGCTAGCAAATAGGATAGTGGGCCAGGCCCAGGGCTGGTACAAATCGCAGCGTTCCACTGAACAGAGCAGGGCTGCTCGACACCTGCCGAGGGTCTGTACACACACACACTGTGTAGATACACACACACAAAGCTCTGCACAAAGAAACACTGAGGTTGTTTCCAGGCTCCCAACAAAACATCTCCTTTTCAAGGGAGATAATGATTTCCTGCCGCAGGCGTGTGAGCTCACTGCCCGCCCCCCTCCGCACTTGTAAAAGCTTCGCTGCCCCATATAAAGAGTATATTTTCTTCTTCCTTTGCCCGTAATTTTTTTTCGGAGGGTAAACGAAACTCGATCCTTGCAGTAGCCTGTAATTTGCCGGAGAGTCTGTGCGGCCACCGCCGTTTAATCCCTAATGTGATTTCCTACGGCAGAGCACGACAGTTTACACAACACACACACACACACACACATGCATCCCATTCACACACACTGCCCCGCAAACAATCGCATGCACAGGCACAGATGACACCCCAGCCCGAACTCACATTTTTATTCCAGAGCCCACTTCCTTTATTGCAAGGAGTGACGTTTTCCTATTCATAGAATCTAGGACCCTCTGGATACAAGGCCTTGCGTATATCCTAAAATGGAATCAACACAGGCACATAGATGCCACCAGACCGGATCAGACCCGAGGTGCATAGTCCAATACCATGTCTCTGGCAGGGACCAGCACCAGACAGTTCAGAGGAAGGTATAAGAACCCCACAGTAGCAGATGTGGGATAATCTGTCTCCCACGTGAGGTCTCCTCCTGTCCTCTAGTAATCAGAGCCCTGAAGCAGGAGGAATCGCGCTGGAGGGACCTCAGAGAAGGTCAGTAAGACCTGGCCTCATGCAGAAAGTTGAATGGCCTTGGAAGTCCAGGGGAGTCTTTCCATTGATTTCACTGATCTGTGGATCAGGCCCGATATGTCTCGCTTGGTTGACACGCGGGAGACATGCCAACTAGCTAGCAGTATTTCCAGGCTGCAAATCCAGCAGAGGTTTATTTAGGCGGATGTAGTGAGAATAGGAAGGGGGTGTGTGTGTGTGTACAATGGGATGAATTTAAGGCTGTCTTAAGCAGCACTTACTGACAATGAGTGCGGTTAGATATCCAAGGGGAACTGATGCAAGCCCGATTAACTGAGGTTTTTTTAAAGGAGAGGGCACGCTGTTAGCATTGGAGCTGTAAGGGACGTATGCTGCACCAGGCTCCGAGGTAGATTGGATCTATCTCTGACTTCTCCGCCACTGCAATTCTCCCTTGCCGCTTCGATGCCACATTGAAATGAAGATGGGGGAAGGATGCCGGGTGACGTTTTGTACTGTCTGGACTGGAAATCCCAAAGCGGGAGAGAGCAGACTGGGTTAGGCAGGGTCCGAATAGTACATGAGGTCCATACAGAGCCTTTCGTGCGATGTACATGCAGCGGTCCCGGAATGCAGCCACCTCTGGGGTGCAGGGCAAAGAGCAGGCTTGAGCTGAGGGAAACCTTTGCTCTAAGGGATGTGGCCCTGGTTTTGTTAATATCCCTGCAGAGCGATGGAATGTCTCCCTGCCCGTAAATGACACGGAGCTCACTTAGAGGCCCGGACAGTGGCTGTCTCTCTATTTCCGTTGCACAGGGCTCAGCACAATGGGGTATTGAGCCTTGCTGGGGTCCTTGACAGCTGCCATAATATAATAATCGACCTCTGGAGGATGAGGTCTGGACCAGTGACTTCGAGGGAGAGGGGGTGAAAAGCAGGCTGGCTTTCTGGACTCAAGGCGAGAGGCATGTTCTGCTCTGAATCCCTTGTGTTAAACAGTCCTGGGCTGGGTTAAAATTAATATCTTACTAATACTTAGCCCTTGTATCTGGGGCTGTCAAAGTGAACGTATGCTCCCAGCCCACCTGGGAGGCCGGTGGAAAGTGCTATTCCCACTGCGTAGATGGGGAAACTGAGGCACGGAGTTTTTGAGCAGCCCAAGGCTGTAGCAGGTGTCCGTGGCCGAGCCAGGAATAGAAGCCAGGTGTGCTCTGATGTTGGCCACCAGACAACACTGCCAGTAAAGAACACCCCCACGCGCTCGCTCTCCAGCTGTTTCATTCTGTGGGCAGCGTAGTGAGTTGATGTTTATTACAGTGGTCGCTAGCAGGTCTCCCAAACCCTAGCCCAGTGTGCTAGCCACTGGCCAGCACCGGCTCTCATGAGCCAGCCTCCCCATCCCCCGCTTCCAGAGTCCTCGCCTACTGCTTGGTTCTGCAGCAGTTTCGGTCTCCAGGCCAGTAGATCTCACATCCCATTCTCCATGTCTATAGCAGGCCTTTTGGCCCCGTTTCCCACTGCTGCTCCCACCAGTTCAGCTCCACCAGGGGTGGTAACAGCTGGAAATTTGGGGAAAACAAAAAGCCTGGACTGTCCCGGTGAGTAATTTGCCCATTGATGTTGCTAGATTATCCGCTTATTAACTCTTACGCTAGTGATGTGTGAATGCTAAAAGGGGACGATGCCCTTAATGCGCAAACTGGCTCAAGTCCGCATCGAGATCTGGTTCTGAAACTTTCTGCAAATCTTGGGGCTGTCTGGATCCAGGCTGTGGGTTTTCCTTCAGTTTCTGGCTGTTAGCCAATACCTACATGTTAGGCGTAGCATAACCACACTGATAGCTATTAGAGGCATGGTATTAATATAGCATACATGATTTATCTAAGTGTTGAGAAGCTATGTTACCTGAATGTATTATGTTCCTTCCCCACAGTTCTGTTCACCCATGTCAGGTATCCACAACACTTCGCAAAAATCAAGTCAGAAAATAGGAAATTTGGCAAAATACATGAATGTTCTGCCCCGGTACAAGCTGCTTCCCGGAAGGAGGGGTCTGCGTGTTTCCTTTTCATATCATGCGGCTTTGTCTTTAGACAGTCAGTGTGGCTAAGTTCGGTATTTGGTCTCTTGAGCATTTTTAAGAATGAACTACGCATGTCCAACAATTGGCGACACCTTTGAGTCAATAGGAGCTAGGCAAGATGTCACTGGACGGAGACATAGCAGAGCTGCCTGGCTCTGCCACTGATGTGTTGTTTGACCCTGGGCAAGTCACTTCTCCTTCCACCCGTTGGCTTGTTGATTTAGTCTGCAAGCCCCTCGGAGCATGGCATGGACAAGGAGCCCCCAGTCTGGGGCGTGGTCTCCAAGCACTGCTGTAGGAATAAGCAATAAACATGCGCTGGGTATTGATGGCCTCCTGGCTTCGTTATTCCCGGAACACCCCAAACCTCAGCGTTAATCGCGTTTGGGCAGCAAAAATGAGAGAGGGGTTGGAGTGAAGAGACCGCTGCTTGCCCCACAGCTGTTCTAGCCTGTTCGGTATTCTGTCCTCGGGCACCACAGTACCTAAGGCTTAGGGGGCACGTGAAAGTCAAGTCAGAGTAGCTGTGAAAAAACACATCCCTGACTGCCAGACCTATGCCGGCCGCATCTCCAGGCTAGACGCAGCTGTGCGGATCCGTAGCTAACGTCACCCGGTCGACAGAGAAACCCCTTCTGTTGGGCTGTGTCTACACTAGCCTGGCGAGACCGACACAGTGTAGACACGCCCCGAGTATAAGCGATGTGACCGGGAGGTCGTGTTCTCTCTCCTCTCCTTGCAGCAGCAGGGTGTTCTGGAGGACTGGATGGGGAGTTCATTGAGAAGCGTGAGGCCGAGGAGGACGCGGGCGGGGGGGGGGGGGGGACGACACTGCTGTGAATGGAACACCCAGTTGGGTGTGAATAGCGTAGGAGCGGGGGGCGGGGGTGCTGTCAGTGGAACTGCCTATCTAACAGGTTGGGCAGGATTGACTGGGGTGGGTGGAGGAGCTACTCCTGGAAGAGCCTTACAACAGGTTGGATGCGACTGGCGGGGGGGGGCTGCTATTTATAGCTCAGACATGTCACCAGCGCAGTGTGGATAGCTGCGGGGGTGCTTACCCGGCTTAGCGCTTGGGTGTGAGGCTGTGAGCAGTGGAGGGGCAAGGTATTAGCCGTGGAACAGGCAAGTAACAAGTTGGGTGAGACTGGCATGGGGAGGGGGACACCAGTCATGTAACAGGTCGGGTGGGAATAGCATGTACATGGGCGGTTCTGCTGGGGGTCCCCTCCCTTTGCCAGTCGGACCCTTCTTGTTACTCCGCTGTTCCTCTGAGAGACGCTTCCACCCTCCGCTATTCACTCGCCTGCCAATCACACCTGATTAGGGCCTGCTAAGAAAGAAAGAGCCACGGGAAAGGGTGGGGACCACGAGCGCTCACAGGGGCTGTGCAATACTCTGTGCGTGCGCCTGGAGATCAGGAACATGTGATGTGTGCGCACACATGGAGATCTGGAACGCTCAGTATGCGCATGCCAGGCGATCAGGAAAGCTTGGTGAGTGTGCGTGGAGATCAGGAACGCTCGGGGCGTGTGCGTGTGGAGGTCAGGAACGCTTGGTACAAGCGCATATGTGGAGATCTGGAACGCTCGGTATGTGTGTGCGTGGCGATTAGCAACACTCAGTGAGCATGCGTGCCTGGTGATCAGGAATGCTCGGTGAGCGTGCGTGGCGATCAGGAACGTGCGGTGCCTGCACGTGCGTGGCGATCAGGAACGTGCGGTGCCTGCGCGTGTGTGGAGATCAGGAACGTGCGGTGCGTGCACATGCGTGGCGATCAGGAACGTGTGGTGCCCGCACGTGCGTGGCGATCAGGAACGTGCGGTGCCTGCGCGTGTGTGGAGATCAGGAACGTGCAGTGCGTGCACATGCGTGGCGATCAGGAACGTGCGGTGCCTGCACGTGCGTGGCGATCAGGAACGTGCGGTGCCTGCGCGTGTGTGGAGATCAGGAACGTGCGGTGCGTGCACATGCGTGGAGATCAGGAACGTGCGGTGCCTGCACGTGCGTGGCGATCAGGAACGTGCGGTGCGTGCACGTGCGTGGAGTTCAGGAACACCAGTGACAATTTTCACAATTCCTTTTCAGGACATTTTCGACCTGCTAAATGTTCTTTCCCTCCCACCCTGCATATTGGCCGTTTCTTTTTTCCTACCCTCCATATGCAGACCCCAAAATCTTGCATATTCGAACGTGGGCGCTGAACTGTGTCCAAACCAAGATCCTCCGCTGGGGCCAACCAGCCCAGTTCCAACAGTGCTACGCCCGTGTACACCAGCCCACAATACGGGCCATTTGGTTTGGATTTCAAAATGTTGATGTGAGATGCCCCATGTTTGCTCAGAAATGGGGCAGATTTGACATGAACAGAGTTGAGTGAACATCTCTGGAAATGTCACAGGGCGGTTTCCTCTGGAACTTGACCGTTTCTGCCCTTAATCGCAACAAGATGAGGGAAATCTCCAGTGTTGAGCTTTGCAGAGTTCATGGGGAATAGCTCGGAGAACAGCTTCCCCCACAGTCCCTTCTGATCTCACTTAGGCAAACATTTACACACAAGCTTAACGTGAAGCCCACGAGGAGCTTGAAGTCGGTGGGACTGCTCCCCTGCCTAACGTTAACAGGGCCATACAGAGGTGTTGGGGGGACCTAGGGTGAAATTGGAAACTGACCCCCCCCCCAAATAAAACCCCGAACCAATCAAGAATGCAAAAATACTAAGGAGAGGTCCAGAAGGTGGGGGTGACAAACAAGCCAACCCTGGACTTATTCTGCATAGGCAGTTTTGGGTCCCCCCTCCAGGCATGGGGTCACGTTGCCACTCAGGTTTGGCCCAGCTGCGCCATCGGGATGGGAGGGCAGCTGAGCCAAACCTGAGCGGTGCTGTAACCCTGTGTGTTGCTCCATGGGGGGGCCCTCTCAAATAGGGGATAGGGGCACGGGGGCCAGCTGCCCCACCCTGTTGGGCGGCCCTGAGGCATGTGCAGAAATCGTTTGCAAGACTGGAGGCTTAGCCAGTATCCGAAATCCGGGCTCTTTCACTGAGATGCCACAGGCCGGGTTTGGAACAGATTGTTCAAGTGCTCAGTCCCCATGGTCAGGGTCAGATGTTCATAAGTGCAGACCCCCTGATGAGCCCGGCTCTTTGTAAAGCCAGCTGAGGAGCGAGGGTCTGGAACAGCTTCCCGGTAGGAGTTGTGGGGCAAACGCCCTCGCTAGTTTGAAGAGGGAGGTTGATAAATCTATGAGCGGGACGATATCATGGCGTGCCCGGCGCTAGCAGGGGGCTGGACTCAATGACCCAGAAGGTCCGTTCCAGTTCTGTGTTCCAATGAAAATCTGTTCCCTGTTCTCCGGCCACACATAGAAACGCCCAGGAAAGACTAAGTAGACAAGGCCCCAGTATAAGAAACAAGTAGTGAGCTGGGGGGGGATCCTCCGTCTGCTTTATCCATCACAGAGATGTAAAAAAAAGGGGGGGGCCCAAGCCCAGCGATTAGAAACAAAGCCCCACAGAAGGGCCAGGCCTTATAAATGATTAATATCATTCCCGCTTTCTCCGAATGCTCATTTTGCAGAACGCCTCTGCCCGCGCCCTTGCTGAGGGGGGTTAACTCACCAAATGAGACAACCTCTTGCTTCAGCTGCTATTCTATTGATTTCAAATCCTCCTTGTTTTTAACACTTTTTCTCAGGTCAGGAAAAGCTGCGGGGGTTGGCAAATGGAGGTTTTTTTAAAAATTACAAGCGCCGCCTCTTTAAGAGAGACTGGGGCACGGTGGTGGTGGTGTTGGTGGTGAGGGGAGTTCAGCTTTAAAGAGACAGCGCCGAGGTCACCAAGGGGCCAAGCTCTCAGTTGGTGTAACTGGTCATAACTTGCACTGACTTCAATGCAGCTGGGCTGATTTACATCCGCTGCGGCTGCGGCCCGAGGAGTTTAAGCCCCAGCAGGTCTTGCATCTCTGTTCTGTTTGGCACATGTCCCGCTGATCGGCCCCATCTGTTCAGGTTTGCAGCGGGTGGCAGAGGGTTGCATTACCCAGGAGTTCGAGTGCAACACGGAGAATCCAAGAGACTCTAATCCCAGCCCTGACCTCCAGCCAGAGTCACTTGATCTCCTTGTGCCCCAGCCAGTCCAGCTAGAAAATTGAGTCAAACCAAAAAAACAGAACTTTACTCAGGACCAGATGCCGCTTCGGAGCAGAGGTTCTTTGGGTCCATAGACGCCAAGGCCTGCAGTTGTGTCCACATCGAGCTGGGATCTGGTTAGATCTCCTCAATTAAGCCAGGCTGGTATTTAAAGGGGAGACCTGTAGGGAAAACCCAGACTGCTGTGGTCAGTGGGGTGAAAGATTAACCAGGGTGCTGGTCCCTCTAGGGCTGTGCCGATCTCCCTTTGATGTTTATCTGGCCCCCATTGCTGTAGTAGCCGGGCACTTCACAATTGGTAATGTATTTATCCCCACAGCGCTCCCTGTGAGGCAAGGCGGGACTATTAACCCCATTGTAAAGATGGGGAGCTGAGACACAGAGCGGCTAAGTGACTTGCCCAAGGTCACACCGGAAATCTGTGGCAGAGCTGGGAAATGACCCCATGTCTCAGGTTAGCACCCCAGCCGCTGAGCCATGCTTGCTGCTTCTTCTATTTGAAAGATGAATTGTAAAACAGAGCCGCTTCTTAGGTACCGCTTAGTGCTCCGTCGCACTCCGCAGTGGAGGAGGACCAGCAGCCAAAGAGTTAACCGAAAATCTGAACACCTGGATGTAGCCAGAAGGGCCTTTGCAAACAGGAGGGGCAGTTAGACATTGGGGGCTCTGTTGCTCTAACAGGACTGCCTTCTGTTTGAACGTTCCCAAACACATGGACGCTGACAAATGTATATTAAAGTAAATCCACTGCCCTCTGGATTCTCTCCCTTGGAGAGCCTAGCCCAGGCCTCCTCCCTCTCCTTTCTTGCTTTATTTAGGCACTGTGCCTTTAAGATGGCCTTATGATAATTAACTGTCTCCAGATGCCTGGTGCCAATTAATTTCTTTGTTCTTGGATTCAGAGGGAAAATATTTAAAGGCCCGGCGCCTCTTGAAAGATGCAGCCAGCCGAGTTCCTGTAGCAAATATGGATCAAGTCATTGTAATATGATCATCCCATAAGAAAAGGGGGTGGGGGAGGGCTGGGGAGAAAGGTTTTGGCTTAATTAGAACAGGCTTTGACTCCGAGCGGGGAAACAGCCAGGGTTCCACCACTCAGAACAGTGTCGTTTTGTCCCGTCAGCTGGGATCTATCCAGCCAGTCTGGAGTCTCACTTTGTGCCCACCTTCCTGGTTCTTAGCCGGGCTCCTTTTTGGGGAAGGAAAGAGGCCTGTTGTAGAGCTGTTACTGTTTCTAGGCAATCAGCGTGCCCATACTCTGACTGCTGTTAATATAGAGCAGGGGTAGGCAACCTATGGCAAGCGTGTGGAAGGCGGCACGCGAGCTGATTTTCAGTGGCACTCACACTGCCCGGGTCATGGCCACCGGTCCGGGGGGCTCTGCATTTTAATTCAATTTTAAATGAAGCTTCTTAAACATTTTATAAACCTTATTTACTTTACATACAACAATAGTTTAGTTCTATATTATAGACTTTTAGAAAGAGCCCTTCTAAAAACGTTAAAGTTTTTAGAATCCTTAAATTAGAGTGAATAAATGAAGACTCGGCACACCGCTTCTGAAAGGCTGCCGACCCCTGATACAGACACTTCAGGGGGGAGCCATGGGGTGGAGGGAGAAAGGCGGAGGAAGAACAAGGGTGTCATTTAGCCCTTCTGAACTGTAATGGTAGAGGTGAGCCTTCTGCAGGGGAATGGGAACACAGAGGGGCTGCTGAGGGCCAGGGACTGTCTCTCTTCAAAGATCCCTAGTTTGTCCCTTCTGCATTCGAGGAGTTTCCTTTTCAGCCTGCAGTTATGTTCAGACCACCCCCGCAAAGGTAGGCACGTTTACACGCTCACCGACATGCATGTGCACGGAGCTCCACGCACACAGACACGAATGCACTAATATTCACGTGCACACAAGTGTGTACGATGCTGCCAGCCTCGAGGAGCTACAGATCAGTAATCTGCCCCCCCCCCCCCATCCTGAGATTGGTTTAAAAATCATGAGATTTAAAAATAATAATAAAGTTGCTTCTTTTTCTTTGCCTTCTAGTTTCTGAGCCTTCAGAGTCATGCTTGGGTCACATTTTCCAGCTTTTCTCTGTGACATGAGAGCCAGAAACATACTTTTTTCTTTATTGAATGACTGCTGCGAATCTCATCTCATCATATTCTTGGAGCACAGAGACACTAGATTAGCACCCCGAATTTCACCACAAGGCTTGTGATAAAGTCATGAGAGTTGGCTAGATTCACGCACACTCAGATTCTCAGGCAGACAAGTGCACAAACAGAGAGGGAGCTACAGACACACACAGATGCTTATAGGCACGGAACATGTGTACACACCTGCCCGCAGGTACACCAGGCGAAAATAAATAAGGAAGTGTTATTTACTCCTTCTCATAACACGAGAACTAGGGGTCACCTAATGAAATTAATAGGCAGTAGGTTTAAAACAAAAGGAAGTATTTCTTCACACAACGCACAGTCAACCTGTGGAACTCTTTGCCAGAGGATGTTGTGAAGGCCAAGACTATAACAGGGGATCAAAAAGGAACTAGATAAATTCATGGAGGTTGGGCAGGGGTGATGTCCCTAGCCTCTGTTTCCCAGAAGCTGGGAATGGGCGATAGAGGATGGATCACTTGATGATGACCTGTTTTATTCATTCCCTCTGAAGCAGCTGGCATTGTGGCCACTGTTGGAAGACAGGATACTGGGCTAGGTGGACCTTTGATCTGACCCAGTGTGGCCGTTCTTATGTTCCCGCACCGCTCAAGCCCGAGTGATTTTTCTTTTATGTGAAATCAGGAAAGAACCAAAGGCCCCAGGAGGGAGCACAGGGCATTTCTCCTGTCTAACATGCTGCCTCAGCTCTGCTTCAAGCAAGCATAGAATCATAGAAGATCAGGGTTGGAAGGGACCTCAGGAGGTCATCTAGTCCAACCCCCTGCTCAAAGCAGGACCAATCCCCAACTGAATCATCCCAGCCAGGGCTTTGTCAAGCCGAGCCTTAAAAACCTCTAAGGAAGGAGACAGGCAGACGCCTTAGAAATGGACAGGCACGGTACACAGACGGCACTCAAAATGGTCACATGGCTACACCTACGGACACAGCTGCTCCAATTCAGCAGTGGTGGGAATCAGATAAGTACCTAGATAAATCATTCCCCCCCCCACCACACACACCATTCAGACACACAAGCAGAGGCAGTTCCATAAGGGCAGGGGAAGAAACTCTTAGTGGTGAGCCGCCATGCAACAGAGATTACCCCGTCCGTCACCACGCGTGGGTGGGGATTGCCCAGGCGTCCCCTTCTCTCATCACCTCCCCTGCCTCGAGGACTGTGGGGTGGGAGAAGAAAAGAGGAGGGAGGCAGAGCACCAAAGCTGAAGGAGTGTGGCTGAGAGAGGGAGGGGGAAAAGCTTGGAAGATGGAGGGAGAGAGACAAGTGCGGCTGGGTCCAAGGCTGGGGCAGGAGCTATCGCAGCGAATGCTTTGAGCAGCCGCTGGACTGCTGCTGACTTCCCACCAGTCAGGCAGCCTACTACAGGCCAGCTGGGCTCAGTACGTTGCCCGGAGACCGGCTCTGCTGCAGGCCCCGGTTCCTGACAGGTAGCCTGGCTCCTGACCTGAAGAGCTTACCATCGGAAGAGACACGTGATCTTCAAAGAGCGGGGGAAGAAGGAAATGCCAAAATATACACAACTTTTAAAGCCAATGTCTTGTAGGCATCACCGCAGAGGTGGTCTTGCGGAGAGGGAGACGGGAGCGGCTTTATGGCCCAGTTCAGGGAGGGCGTCAGGCTCAGAGGGTTGTGGAAGAAGTTGTCGAGCAGAGGGTGGCTGAGGTGTCGAGCAGGTGAGAGATGGCACAGCAGAAAGGGTGGAGCGCCCGGCAATGAGAGAGGAGAGTGAGCAAGTAGGAAGACAACAAGGAGTCTGGTGGCACCTTAAAGACTAACAGATTTATTTGGGCATAAGCGCATCCGAAGAATTGAGGTTTTTACTCACGAAAGCTTATGCCCAAATAAATCTGTTAGTCTTTAAGGTGCCACCAGACTCCTTGTTGTTTTTGTAGATACAGACTAACACGGCTACCCCCTGATACTTGACAAGTAGGAAGAGAGGACGGATGTCATTGTGGTTAGGGCAGTCCCTGAGCACTTAGGAGATCTGGGTGAACATCTCTGCTCTGCTACAGTCTCCCTGTTCAGCCTCCCTTGTGCCTCAGGGTCCACATCTGTAAAACGGGGATCGCAGCATGGCATTAGCTCACAGGGGTGGTGAGGCGAAATACATCTGAGATCATTTGGCTCAGATGCTATGGTGATGGGGGACAGATATGTGCGAAGAGGGAAGGTACGGCGCCATGAAGGGCCTTTAAAACAAAGGCAAGCCGCGAGGACATGCTCCTATGCCGTGCGTGCTCTGGGCACTCCCAGCAATCTGCCTGGGTGGGGAGAGGGATCAGAGGAGAGCTACAAGAATGGTTGGAGGTCTGCAGTGCGAGAGGAAACCCACTCAAGCTACGTAGCTTATCAAAAAGGAGGTAAAGAGGCCACTTGATCACGACCTTTAAGTACCAAGTATATTTGATACTAGAGGGCTCTTTAATCGAGCAGACGAAAACAGGACGGACGAGGGCCAAGGGCTGCAAGTTGAAGTCAACGTTCAAAGTGGCAGTAGGTTGGGTGTTTCTAACAGGGAGGGTGATCCGCCGTTGGCAGAGCTCACCGGGCAACGTGGTGGATTCTCCATCACTGGAAGCATTTAAACCATGACTTGGACAACCTCCCAAAAGATACACTCTAGTTCATCCACAGATGCAGAAAACGCAGTGAAATTTTCCAACCTGTGTCTTCAAGTTCCCTAGGGAGGTGGTGGAATCTCCATCCCTAGAGGCTTTTAAGGCCCAGCTTGACAAAGTCCTGGCTGGGATGATTTGGTTGGTGTTGGTCCTGCTTTGAGCAGGGGGTTGGACTAGACGACCTCCTGAGGTCCCTTCCAACTCTGATAGTCTATGATTCTATGATCAAGAGATCAGACTAGACGACCACCCGTGTTTCCTGCATCAAGCCCAGACCCTGGTGCCTGAACTAGAACTTGTCCAACCCTTCTGGCCTTGAAAATCCATGAATAAAACTGAACTGCCCTGTGGGTCCTTCTCTCCGGGTCAGCGCGGAAGCCCATGGACATGCTAGTGTGTTGGGTGCGTGCAAGCAACCCGCATACCTACCCCCATCGATGGCTGGAGAGCCCCCGTCTGAAGGGCTGTTCATCCGGCATGTTTCCCCACATTACTGTCCCTTTCCAATATCTGGAATAAACACCGGTTCTGTCCGAGGGGAGAAGGGAGCGCTAGACTCTCGTTAGCTAAGGCAAACGGGGAAGGCTTTAACACGGGAACTGAAGGGAGGAAGTGACTGAAGGACACACTTACTTAGGGAAAGGAATCACTGCGTTCATTCCATAGAGGATCCCAGTCCCTCCAAAAAAGTTGTTTTAAATCATTCCCCCTTTGGTTGAAATACTCCCTCGGGACCTTCCAAAGGACATTTCTGTCCTGACAGCTTCGGCCACGTCTACACGAGCACTTATGTCGGCAAAACTTTTATCACTCGGGGGGTGTTTTAGTCACACCTTTGAGCGACAGAAGTTTTGCTGGCACAAATGCTCGTGTGCACAGCGCTCTGTCGGCGGGAGACACCCTCCCACTACGCTTGTTAAGCTGGTTTTATTATGTCAACAGAAGCGCTCTCGCTGGCTACACGAGGGATCTTAGAGCGGCGCAGCTGTATCGATACAGCTGTGCCGCGCTGTAAGCTTGTAAGTGTAGACATGGCCTTAGGGTGCTATTTGTCTGAATGCTGATCCGTCAAATGGAATTTGATATTAAGGTGGTATGTGGGTGCGCTTCCTGGACACAGTTTGTCAGTTAAACACCGGCAGTGGGGGGCGGGCACCCGAGTGCAGTTGTGGTTTATGTGGAGGTCCTGCATAAACTGTGGCTGTTGTTTTACACTGGGACATGTTTGCAGGGCGGGGGGCAGTCGGCCTGTGGATTTGAAAAGGGTCATAGACAGGGGTTTAGGGCCTGAGGTGAAATCTGCATCTAACAACAAGGGAGAAAATCGCTTAGTTGTGTGATCCTGTCCCCTCCATTCCTTAGGGCTACCATACGTCCGGATTTCCCCAGACATGTCCGGCTTTTCGCTCTTTAAATAGCCGTCTGGGGGGGATTTCTAAAAATCTAAAAATGTCCGGGATTTCCCCCCCGGTCGGCTATTTATCGACCGAAAAGCGGCTGACAGGGCAGCCGAGCGCCGCTCGCATTGGGGCCTCGGCAGCCAAAACCCCTTCCCGGCTCCCCCCATCCCCTGCAGTCTTAGCACGCCGCCCGGCAGCGCTCGGGCGGGGCGGGGCGCTCCTTGGGGCGCGGAGCCAGACACCTGCTCTAAGCCGAGTGGCACAGTAAGGGGGCTGGGGAGTTGGAGAAGGGGGGCAGTCAGGGGACAGGGAGTGGGGGGGGTGGATGGGTTGGGAGTTCGGGGGGGACTGTCAGGGGGGCAGGGGTGTGGAGAGGGGTTCGGACAGTCAGGGTCAGGGAGCAGGGGGGGTTAGATGGGTTGGGGGTTCTGGGGGGGGTGGGAAGTGGGAGGGAGTGGCTAGGGGGCAGGGCTACCCCCCCAATGGAGTGTCCTCTTTTTTGAAAGTTCAGATATAGTAACCCTACATTCCTCCTTCTCCATCCACTCCTCTTGCAAGGATCTGTGAGGGCCAGGCTGTGGGCAGCCGGCGGGCACCAATCAGTCAGGGGGCGACTAGCAGAGTCAGGGATAAACTGGGGCCAGGAACCAGAGTCTTAAGGTCCACCGCCAGGCAAGGCCTGAAGCAGAAACAAGCGGGCAGCGTGCGCATCATTGCTCAGACAGCTCCCCATGCTGGCTTCCTGGTTTATATACTGGTATGAGCCAATCTATGGGCTGTGAGGGGCCCGCCAATCAGGCCCTGCTGGGCAGTACTTCCGGCAGTGTCTAGCTTCCAGGGTCCCCCAGCAGATCCCCCCGACCCTGAGCTTCCAATGGTGATACAGAAGCATTGATGGCCAGACCCTCTGGAATCCCATGTTCTAATCCCCCAGGGTCTCTGCACCTTTTTATGCCCGGGCTAAATGTGGACTCTACAGATCACCACCATTCCTGTGGTGGGAGGAGACCCCCTCTGCCTCCTGTCTGTAAAGCTGTGGGACGTGTTAGCTGAGCGGGCCAGGGGCCATTTGCCTGCCAGCCCCCAGCTTGCCCTCCCAGCTCTGGGGTTGGGGCCATGAGATGGGCAGTGTCTGTAAAGAGAAGGGCCACTGGTCTCCTTAGCGAGACCTCTTTGTCAGACAAGCCAGGATGGTGGCAAGCGGCCTCCCCTGCATCTAGCCTCCACACCGGGTCTGTTTGCAAGCTGGATAATGTGACTAGCTCTGCTCTAGAATTCCTGCAACCACCTGTGGGCAAGTAGTAAGTCAGAGACACTGGTAGCACACAATAGACTTCTGTGTGGGCAGCGTTTTCAAACAGGTGTGCTTTACGGTCCCCCGCGGGGCTCCCCAGCCCGCCCGAAGGCTGGGGAATCAACCAGACAAGGGCTTCTTCTCTTATGTCACTCAGCAGTGTTCTTCTTCTCTTGCTCTCTGCCTTTTTCTTTCTTTTCATCGCTCATTCTTTTTTCTTTGTTTTCTTTCTTCCTCTGTTCCTTCCTCCCCTTCTGTCTTTATGCCTTCCTCTGGTCCTTCCTCAGCTTCTTTCTTTCTTTCTTTCTTTCTTTCTTTCTTTCTTTCTTTCTTTCTTTCTTTCTTTCTTTCTTTCTTTCTCCCTCCTATGGATGTATTTGGCTCCTCCAGTCTTGCCATCATTCCCCTGGTTCCAGAGACGTTCATTAGGAAACCAGGAAAGGTTGCACCTGGGTGTCTGTGGCAGGGACTAATGCGTGGGCTTTGAGTGAAAACCCTGACAAGGCGACTGGCCGGCAGAAGCTGCCAGACAGCTGCTCCCCACTGTCCCAGTGCTCTGTCCTGAGAGCAGCCTGGTTCTTCCACAGGGATCTGTGCTGCGCTAGGTGAGATGGATTTGGCCCGGGTGCACAAAAACCATTGTGGTTTAACCAATCCACCATGTCAGGGCAACTCTTTGTATTATCCTAGGGCCTTCTGCAGGTTTGCCCTTCCAGGTGCCATCTGAATGGCAAATACAGCTCTGTCGTTGTAAGCAGATCTGAGCTGGTGGCAGTGAACATGACTGTGTCCACGTAGCAACCATTTTCACAGCCACACTTGTCAGTATGCTCCTAACTCCTATGGGCATACTGCTGCAGCTTCCCATAATGCCTCATCACACAGGAGACCGTGCCCAGAAAGAGTCGCACACAGAACAGCATGTGGAGCAATGCACTCTGGGAGGCCCTACCATACAGGCTTCTGGGAGGCAGGAGAACCAGCAAATCCAGTCACACAGGAACTGTGGGGATGGGGGTCGAGGGGTTCCTGTGAATACAGCAAAGAACAAATGTGCTGAACCATTTATAATGAGGCAACAATTTGCCGGCCCTAGGCCAATGACATTCAGCCATTCGATGAAATTAGAAGGTGGCAAATACAACCTTGATAAGGGGAAATACTTTCCCACACAATAGACTGTGGAACTCATGGCCACAGGATGTGTCAGTGGAGCAAAGAGCTTAGCGAGATTCCAAGAGGATTGAACTCTGGAATATCGAGAGTTACACTAAAACCTCATGCTTCAGGGCTTAAGCCAGTCTATTAGAGATCAGGCTGACTTAATCAGGGGGCAGATCATCTCACATCTGCTACTT